CCACGTTTTGTGTGCTCAAAATTGACCAAGGAAGGTGGCTTGGCATAGAGAAGTGATTGAGAGAAGGGATTGGCATCTAAAGGACATGGAGGACCCCTCTTCCTCACTCATTTGCCAAATGAGACAAAGGTAATACACCCTCTCTCCTCTCCAATCAACTAGCTCGACAAAGACCCCCCAAGAAGGAGAAAGAAATCTCTCAACCAATCCTCCATTGCTGGGAAATTTGATCTCAAGCAATAGGGGTCTAAAGAGGAAGATCAAAGAAGGAAAAAGTTAGGAAAAGTGTGAAGGATTAAGGTAATGACCTTATAACAACTTTTCCTTTACTTTTTATCTATCATATGACTTTTATATCATATGAAGTACTCCTAGGATTACTCTAAATGTTTAGAAGTGTAGAATGAGGGGTTGGAAGGTAGTTCTAAGTCTAAGAACGGACTTAGAAGCCAAAGTGTCCGGAAAATAACCTTTAGAGGTTATTTGTGTTGATATGGGTTTTATGATGATAAAACCTTTTTAATAACTCTTCTAAGGTGTTCCTAGAGCTTTCACAGAGTTGAAAGAGTCACCAGAGTTATCGCCGGAGTTTGACAAAGTTCACCGGAGCTTCGTCGAAGTTAAACCGGGAAAGGTAGAACTTCTTAAAGCTCATTTGAGGTGAGTGGATGGCTTGATGTCTTGTGACTCTTGGTTTAAGTATGAGATTACCTAAGTAAATGCTATATGTGTTCATAATCATGTTTAAAATGGTTTAAACATGTGATTAGCCAAGATGATTAGGCTTATATGAGATGAACCATAATGATTATGCATGAAAAATGATATGAAAATGATATAAAAACATGTGTGATGTTTTGGGTGGCCAAAATGGGAAATATTGATTGTTTAAGACTTAATTCATGTTTGGGTTAAGTTTCGGATCAATCGGAGTCGGTTCGGGCGGTCAACGGGCCATTGACCGCAAAGAAGAAAGTGAACTGGCGCCGGTTTAGGCTATAACCGGCGCCGGTTTGAGTACGGGGCAGCCAAATTAATTAAATTAAATATGAACCGGCGCTGGTTTGGGCTATAAGTCCTATAACCGGTGCCGGTTTGGTGTTGTTTTGTCCTGAATGTTGATTTACATGCATGGTTTTGCATGGAATGTTATGTTAGGGTATAAGGCTTGGTTTAGTCTTGATAAATGATTATGAAATAGACCCTATCTAGATTGATATGAGGTAGATCATAGGGATACATATGGTGGAGGACCCAAGGACTAAAGAGTCCTCAAAACTTATATGCGTATGGTGGAGAACCCGAGGACTAAAGAGTCCTCAAAACTCATATGTACATCAGTGGAGGACCCAAGGGCTAAAGATCCCTCAAAACTCGGAATACATATGGTGGAGGACCCTAGGACTAAAGAGTCCTTAAAACTCGGAATATATATATATATATATATATATATATATTATATGTGTGTGTGTGTAAACATATATATATATATATATATATATATATATATATATATATATATATATATATGTTTACACACACACATATATAAACTCATATGTATAAATGGTAGAGAATCCAAGGACGATGGTACTGTCCTCAAACTCGTATGAATAAGATGATTTGGACGAGGAGGAGTCCTATACACTCATAGGATATGGGTGGGTTGGGATTTAAGTCAAGGATATTGGTTACTAAGATTTTCCAAAATAAACAATGACCTACATGTCGGGTATTTCCAAGTGTATATATACTGATATGTATTTCATAACTTGGGGGAAAGTACTATACATGTATGTATCACCCTATGTTTGGGTCTTATACTTGAAGCGTTAGTTATACTACATTTAGCTTGCTACCCGCTCAGTACTTGTACTGACCCCTTCGGGGGGGGCCACCATTTTTCAGGTTGAAGCTAACAGCTTGCTATCCGCATCTTGTTTGGCGGAGTGATGTAAAGGGAGACGTGGTTCACGCTTCCTTTATTGTTTAAAACTAAAAACTATGCTCATGGATATTTAATGTAACGTATACATTGCTTTGGGCCTACGAGCCCACGTTTTGGCCATTTGTGGCCCACGACTGAATATTGAATATTTCCGCTATTCAATTAATTTAAACTGTGATGTTGTTATGTATGTTTACTACTGAGTATGGATGGATTATGTTCATGTACGCCTTGTATGATTAAGTCACGATGGCTTGCGAGTGACATCACTTGGTCATACGGCGGTTGTACACGTGCTCAGATGCGGTCTGGGGTGTGACACGGGTAGATCTTGGATCACATCAAATTTAACCTTCACATTAAGGCCGTGGGCGTACACAAATAGAGATATGTTACCTATGGTCCGACTTAGTTCTCCATTGAATCCGACTAGGGTGGAGCATGACTTCGTCACATCCTCTTCCTTGATTCCCATCTCTTTCATCATTTTCATGATGGTAATGTTTGATGTGCTTCCGTTATCGACGAGGAACCGCTTGACTTCACAGTTTGTCACTGTTAGAGAGATGACCAACATGTCATGATGAGAATGTGTCGGATCGGGCATGTCCGTTTCGTCGAAAGTGATTGACGCATTCTTCCATTCATCTTGACGTCTCTCTAGCCTGCAAACCTGCAACGACTTGTCTTGGGAATAATCCCGAGCATGTCTTTTTGCTGTGGAGTAGGTCAGTCCACATAAATCAGATGTGCCATTAAAAAAATTGATTACCTTACAGGGGGCTGAAGGCGACATGGGTCGCTACTCATTTGATGATGACTTGACATCCCGTCTTAAAAGTGATTTAGTGTGCTCGGACATAATCTCAGTTAGGTAGCCATTCCTTAGTGGGTATGTCACTTCTTTCCGTAATGTGACGCAGTCCTCAGTGTTGTGCCCAATGTCGTTGTGAAAATCACACCGTTTATTCGCATCCCGTCATCCAGTGGGTTTTTCAGTCTTCTTGGCCCATCAGACTTTTTATCCCAACTTTTCCAAAGGATTAATGAGTCCCGGAGTAGTAACATTGAAGCAATAGTCCTGGATGATGGGAGGCAAGTCTGGGTCGTCAAGCCAGTTGTCACTGTTGCCACCAGTCGATCTTCAGTTTTGGCATAGGGCTTCTCGGTCATGTAGTCATGTTTCCTTGACGTGTTGGACTTTGTGTTGCCCCCCATCGTACTCGTCATGACGGTGACGCGACTGCTGGTCCTCTTCCAACCTGATCAAGGCTAAAGTCTTGGCCTGGACGTCCTTGAAGGTTCGGCAGGGGTATTTAGTCAATTCCCCGTACAACTTAGAATCGTTAAGCAAGCCTCTTCGAAATGCCTCTACTTCTGTCGGTATGTCGCATCTGGGGATTGACACTTTCTCCTTATTGAAGTGGTGCAAATAGTCCCTTAACGATTCGCCTCGTCGCTGGATGACTCTGTACATGTTGTTGGTTTGCTTCTCGAGAACACGGCTGCTTACGAATTGCTGATTAAACAAGTTGAAAAGATCGGCAAATGATCTAAACCAAGTCAGTGTTGCTCCAAAGCCTCGACACATGCATGCTTCTCTCTGATCTGGATGGAGTGACACGGCGAACATTCGTTGCTTGTATTGAGCAACATGTTCTACCGAATCAGAAGTGTCGTCGAACATTTTCATTGATGAAGCAGTGAAATTTCTTGGTATTTCGACGTCGGTAATCTGCCTGCTGAAGGGGGAATCTACATAGCATGTTTGTGATGCCCGGTCCAGAGGTGGAGGCACTCCCGGTAATCCGTTGATCTTGTCCTGCATCTGACGTAACTGGTCCATTTTCATAGACATCGGGTCTGCCATGCCTGGTTGAAGTAGTTCCGTCATTGAAACTGTTGGTGCGGCCATTTGAGCGGCTTTAGACCGGGTTGGTGATGGAATGATTATGAGTTCTAGACGTCGTCCCCTCGACTTGGATCTGTCGAAGTGACGGGCCTGTGTGGACATTGCGCCTGTGATTCAGGTAGTAGCTCGTCAAAGATATACCGTCTGGAGTTCTGCGCGAAACTGGACAGGCCTGGATCTCCAAAGGTACTACTTCTGTAGTGAGGAATGGAAGGTTCCGATGTCCTTGGTTCCATCGGTATGCTTTGAGTGGCTGAGTGCAAGCCCGCCGACGTCAGGACCGTGCCGTGTGTGAGGCAGATGAGGCACTTGCCTCCGGGCCCAAAAAATTGTTAAAATTTTAGGGCCCAAAATTTTAGATATTTCTTTAGTATATATATGTACTTCGTATTAAATTTACATATTGGGCTTTCTTTGACCTTTGCCAAACCTTTAGAAACGGAATAACCATAAAAAAGGAAAACCCCCAAGTCCCCCAATTATCTTTGTTCGGCCACTTTAAAAATGGAATATCCATCAACACACAAATGGAAGCAGGGTTTAAGGCGATTTGCGATTCCCTTGTTCCGGCCTTAGACGAATCGATCAACAACAGGGCCTTAGTTAGCGTTAATTTGCGATTCCCTTATTCCGGTCTATAGACTTAATCGATCAACATCAAGTTTAATCTTTCATCTTCTTTGCTTAACTTCTAAATTTCTAATATTTTTCTATTTAAAGCCTTAAAAGGATTTATAGCTACCAAAATATAAATATATCTTATTCTGTGATTGTGATTAAGTTGCTATGTGAATATGTGATTATGTGTATTCTGATTGCTTGTGTTAGAAACTTGAGATTTGAGAATTGAGAATTGGTTGGTGAAGAATCAATTTGATTATTAATCAATAATCATATAGTCCGTGTGAAATAACTAATAAGCTAAGACTTTTATTATTTTACTTCATTTATGTGTTTATCTTTCAAACTAGTAAAGCCGTTTATTATTATGCCGAATTAATTAATACTTTTGCAGCTAAAACTGTCCGGCGAGGCGGCGAGTTGTACTTAATTAGTTATTTGAATACTTTGACATTGATGTAATTTTTATTTAATTAGTCATTTTTATGATGTTTAATCTTCAATTTCAAAGAAAATTATAGTAAAAAATATAATGCATAGGGCCTTTTATGAAGTTCGACTCAGGCTCGAGTTTAGGTAGGATCGGCACTGGCCGACATCCTTGGCCCGGGCCGAAGGGTCTCTGAAAAAAGCAAGTTGGTATGCTAGGAGTTGGAGTTGTCTCAGGAACGAGGGGTGTGTAGGGTATGACCTAAGAGATGACGGTGGATTGCGAGTCTCCGGCCGACGAAAGACCCAACATAAGAGAGATGGGTTCGGTAGTGATAATGGGCGGTCCCGTCATCGTCGGAGTGGAACCCAATTCTAACCTCGTAACGGCGGGCATGACGCCATTTCTCCGGCTACCTCTCGAATTAGAGGCGATTGATACTGCCAACTGGACTTGGGACTGGAGTAGATCATTCTCCCGTTTAAGATGGGCCATCTGTTCCGCCACCTCTCTTCGGATTTCTTCTTTTGGCGCTTCTAACTGCACATGGAACTCAATCAACAAAGGATTGTCTCCGGCCATGCTTGATGATCTTTCTCTTGCACGATACCTAACGGTGGGTGCCAAATTGTTTGAGCAATGATTAAACTAATCTACAATTATATGCAAAATGAATCGTACAAGAAACAAAAGATATAAACTTGGGATTAAGGAGTTCAGAATATAGATCACAATAGATGAACATGAAAATCTTGGTTTGTGTATAATAATAATAGAATTAGTTGATCAGTTCTTGATCGTGCCTCTCGGGTAGGCTCTACTCTACTTATACAACAATAATGCTCTACGTAAGTGGCCCAACTGCCCGGAGAAACAGCCTCCTAATTATTAGCCTGATCATCTCGCTGGACGCTCCCACTCAATTCGTTCTTATCCAAATCCTTCAGACGTTTCTTGCCTTGGACTCCTCATTTACTCGACTCTTTTGGCCCAATTGTTTCTGACCCAGCAACTTATTTTAATTGCTATGATTCTAATTATTCCCGGCCCAACAGTAGGGCCCCATGTATTTTATATGTATATATGAATGTTTGTGTGTCTATATATGTATTGGATTACTTTGAACATTTTAATGTCAAACAATGTTTTAAATTATGTGAAATAAAAATGAGCTTATAACGCTGCTTATTTTGCGCGTCCCATATTAACTCAAAATCTTAATAAATAGCGTTTAGTAACCTGTGAAGTAACGTGGTCTAAGTCTTGTGCGAATTTAAAAGGGCTAGGCGCCCGCCAATGCACGACAAGTTGCAGAAGAAGATAGTGCTAGTAGATGATCACTTTGTCTTGCTCATGTCTGTGTGATCGTAACTCCGCTTTGACTTTGTGTTTGCTGCCATGCAGAATTTGAGGTCTAACTTTTTTATTTTTTACGGAAAAAGATAGTTAAGTATAGCACATCCGGCCAGACAGGGATGGATTTAAGGGGGGCGCGGGACGACCGCCCCTTTGGACTTTCAAAATTTTCTATTGTATATGTAATATTTTTGTAAAATTTTCATACTTTAATTAGATTCGCCCCTTAACTTTTAGTTTTAAAAATTAATATATAGTCTTACATAATGTAACACTTAATTAGAGATTTAAAAGAAGGAACATCTAAAATAATTTACATAACTTAAATAAATAAACAATAGAACAACTCATTGTTAAAGATTTAAGATACTTACTATATAAAAATTCTTAGTTTTGTAATGTTTAATTATCTTTATTAGATAAGAAAAAATTCCACTTTTGGTCCCATGACTATTATATCACTTTCACATTTAGTCTCTTACTTTCAGATTGTCCACATTTAGTCCGTGACCATTATCCCTTCACCACTCCTCGTCCTTTCGGCCAAAATTTCGTCAAATTTAATGCAGATTTTATGTATGAAAAACCAAATTTAGTGCAAAGACTGATATGAAAAACCCAACTTGATACAAAATTTAATGCAAAGACTGATTCTAAGGCTGAGAAGTGGACTAAATTTACCGGAATTTTGGCCGGAAGGATGAGGGGTGGTGAAGGGATAATGGTTACGGACTAAATGTGGACAATTTGAAAGTAAGGGACTAAATGTGAAAGTGGTATAATAGTTATGAGACCAAAAGCGGAATTTTTTCATTAGATAACTAGTAAACAATGTTGTAAAATATATATCAAACAATATTAAATATCAGACAAACTAGTTACACAGTTTTTAGATCATGTGAAGCGAATCCAACTTATAAATGTTTATTGAATTAAATTACACGATTCATTTACTTCTCACATTTTAAAAATATTTTATTGCATATAATAAACTTTAGTTATTTGAGCAAATATAATATGCACTATATATATTATATATGAATCAGCAATATAATATTATTCTAAAAATAATAATCTCATACATGCTATTGTAATATTAAGAAAACTCCTTGTGACTCATGAACACCCGCTTTGGTAGACAAAAATTGTAATTCAAAAACCAATTCTTTATTTCTATAAGATTCATTAGTTAAACAATGTTCAAGTTATTTTAAAAGTATTGGTGAATGTGTACCTTATAAACTCTATCTTTAAGAGGAAGCGGTCCAGCTCAGCTGGTCGCCGACTCACTCTCCCTTACGGGAGGTCTCGGGTTCGAAACTCAATGGAGTGAGTTTCAGCCCTGATTACTCCAGGCCCCCCAGACCCCCTCCCTAAGACGCCCCCTGGACTAAAAAAAACTATTAAAAAAACTCTTTATCTTTAAATAAAATGTTATATATCCTTTTTTATTTTCAAATTATTTTTCTTTGATTTGTCATTTCTTACGCTTTCATGTAACAATACTTTTTTCTAGAGCACTCCAATTATAAAATTAAAGTTATTTTACCATTGTCTAAACTTAGAATGTAATATATAGATTTAAATATCATCATGTATGTATTAATGAATTCTTTTGAATAAATATAGCCGCAAAGGCTTACTCTAGTGAAAAAAATTTGCCCCGCTACACTAGCAAAAAAATTCATCCCGAATACTAGTGATTTTTTTTTTTACCTTCTACACTAACAAAAATTTTCACCCCCTTAACTCGAAATTCTGGATCCATCTCTGAGGCCCGGCCACAACTTATTATACGTAGTATATACGGATCTGAGTATATACTGTATTATATTACTAGTATTATACTTAGCACTTAGCACTTAGCAGCAGCATTTAATAATCAATACCCCATGCATACATGCGGCACAAAACTAGCATGCAACAGCAAAATTTAATTACTGTCGTTACGTTGGTTTACCCGGCCCGTTTATATACGTACCTACCATATATGCATGCGGGAAAAAAACCTAAATAATACTAAAAGACATGAGGTTTCCCAAAATATGATTCAAATTGAATTTTAACATCCTTATGACTAAACACCGTGTGACATACATGGGCGCATGATACAATGGCAATAAAAAACCCAAAAATGCCCTTCCCACTAACTACCACGAGCGAATTCAGGCGAGAAACCAGCAGCTTAATGTGGGACTTCCCAAAACGGATAATCCGTATTAACTGAAACATCGTGGATAATCCGTACTCCCAAAACTCCTTGGCAATACTCGACGGCGGAGATTGAAGGCAAAAAATGAGGAACAAGACTCCGACCCGGGGAAAGAGAGCAGTTGGGAAGCAAGAGAAACGAACACACGCTTCAACAAAGCAAGGGCGACTGAAAATCATGTAATTACTGTCGACGGAGTGGTACGTTTACTTGCTGTTGTCTGTATTTGAGATGAATTTTGAATCGTAAAAAAGAAGGATGATGTCTATGGTGTGTGATTATATGTTAAACAATCTTGAGAATATACAAGGGTTATGTGAGGTTTGTGATGTTTATGTGATATGGGCATGTATCATGTGAATGTGATGTATGAGTAAGGGAAATATATTTGATAGAGATTTAGTAGGCAATATTCGAGATTTGTGGTGTGTCCAGGTCGAGCAATTTTGGAAATGTTTGGGAGCAATTGCATTAGGGCATTGTTGGGGTCGATTATTTGGGGGAAATTGATGCAGTGCATTATAGGGCATTATTTGGGGGAAATATATGCAGGGGATTAGGTGGCAATTGGAATAGGCCATTACTGTGCAAGGCGAAAATAGAACACACCAGTAAAAGGAATTTAAAAGGGCAGTAATAGAAGTACTCTGATTGAAGAAATATTAATATATGCAGTGTATAACAGAGGCAGTAATCCTGAAAAGGTAGGAATTGTTGAACAGGGCAGTAATGTGGTACATGTAGGAGAATTGAGAGTGGATGAGGTAGTAGTGTTGAAAAGGGCAGTAAAAGGAATGTGTTATGAAAAAAAGAAATATAAGCAGTGTGTAAGCAATAATTGAGTAATGGTCTACATTTGAGTGAAGTGTTGGAAAAGATAGTGAGCTTGGACATTAATGTATTAAAATAAGGCATTATTTTTTCCCCCATTTATGTACTATGAGATTTATTATGACACTGTTAATCTTTTATATTGCAGGAGTATGTGAAGAGTACTGAGTGTGAAAACTTTGTGCTCGAAAAATCTATGAAAATAAATTGTTATTGTAATCCAGTAAAGGCAGTTGAGAGTATAAGGAGCTATTTAACTGAGGATGAGCTCAAAGAATTTCAAAAATCTGTGTTCGGTTATTTACTTGAATTGGGAAATATACCTTGGGTAAATGGGCAGTTGTTAATCCTACTAATCGCGAATCATGTTGAGCGATTGGATACAGGGAAGGACGAAACAAAGCTTGAATTTGTGATTGGTAACAAAGTTGCGTGCTTTACAAAAAGGGACATGGCAATGATTACTGGGTTCCCGTTTGGTACAAAGAAGGCAAGTATATCCACTAAAGCTCCAGGGGATTTGTGGAGTAGATACTTCTCTGGAATGAAGAAAGTTCAACGACAAGTCATTAAAAGGGTTTTTGAATCAGGGAAATCAAGACAGAGTGGAGCACATGCAATGGATGCGGTAAAGCTTGGGTTATTGCATGTCCTAGGCAGTTATATTCTGGGAAATCAACCATCAACATACCTCCCATCTGAGTACGTTAATCTGGTAGATGATATCGAAAAGTTCAATAAATATCCATGGGGTGATGTTGTGTGGGGTGATCTACATGAAAATGTAAAGAAATGTGCAGGCATTCTTTACCAGGAGCCGTCAGCAAGATTTACATTTCCAGGGTATATGTTTGCTCTGCAGATCTGGGCATATGAGACCTTCCCAGGCCTTGAAAAAGCAAATGTGTGTGTGAGAAGGGCGAGAGCAAATATGTGGCCTAGGACACTACAATGGACATCCCCTGCTAGGCCGTCACAACAAGTTGTTGAGGAGGTGATATTTAATAATGACCAGGTAGGAAAAGTAAATAATTTAATGTAAGTGTTGTATTTTTCATATTGGTTAATATACTAATGTTTTTATACTTATGTGTGCAGGTAGAATGGGCAGAAATGAAACCCACTGAAGAAGAGGTGAAGATGGAGTGGGTTATTAAATCATTGACAAAGAATGTTAATGAAGTTGAGGTGAGGGAGGGAAATGATAGTGATGATTTTGAAGAACGGGGATCGAGTAGAGTGATGGACAAGGCAGTAAAGAGAGGCAGTAAGGTAGGAAAAAAAGGGTGGCTGCGCATAAAGGGAAAGAAAAAAATAAAAAGATACCCGGAATTGAAGAGAAGGAAGATAAAGTGATGCACAGTTTAATGGCAGCAGTTGTATCACAAGGAAAAAGATTAAAAAAGTTAGAATCTAAGGTGGATAAGCTATGTGAGTTGCAAATGAAACAATCCAGCATGTTGAAGAAGGTTTTAGCTAGTAGAGCCATGATGTGGAAGCTTAAAAAGCTGAAGAAAGTGTCCAAGAAAGCAGCAATGAAAGATAAGGGAGACATGCCAAATTTTGACTTGGGTATGGATTTCAATGAACATGTCGTAGAAGACAGTGAGCAAGGTAATGAGCATGATGAAGTTGAGGACGTACGTTGTGAGCAAGCAGAGACGGCTGATGAGATGGTAGTGGATGATGTGCAAATGACACAAGACGACATGTTCAAGGAAATTGATGGATCAATGAACACCCAACAATTAGTTAAGGAGGTGGAATTGATTGAAAAGAATATGATGAATGATGAGACAGAGAAAGAAGAGCATAATGATATTCAGAGCTATGAAGATTTAGGAGTGCTGGATACGCAGCTGCTGTGTGCGGAGGCTGATGCCATATTTGAGAAGTACATGGGCAATATGAACGCTCCAGCGGTAAGTGAAAAAGGAAGTAAAGAAACAAATGATGATGAGGTAAACAAGGAAAATCTTTGATTATATAACAAAGAATTGGATACGTGAATTTTAATGTGTTTTTAACTAAATAGGAACTATATATTAGTGATATTATTGTTTACACGTGCATGGTACAGGGAAATAAAGTAGTTGTACTTGAAAGTGAAGTGAGAAACAAGGACAGTGAACCTAAACATGTATTATGTATAGCAAGATATGTTAAAACCATTGATGAAGTGTGTGCATTGATTTTATTATTGATTTGTGTTAATGCAGGTGTCAAATGAACATGTCAAGGGGACTGATTGCATTCACCAAACTGAAAAAGAAGATTGTTTAGAACCAGTGAAGTCCCAAGTTGTGGTAAGATTCGCAAAGGGTGCATATGAATACAAGTACATGTTATTTAATTAAAACTTAATATATTAATCCTGTTACTAACTATGATTACTATGATGAGCTTCTATTCCTGTTAATATGATTCCTGTCAATAATTATTGAAAACAACTTGTGTTGATGGACCAGGTATACACCGGGAACACGTCCCCATTGGCAGTTGAGGAAAGACCAAAACGGCAGGCAAAGTGCCCTGATAGATTCACATTTTCTGGGCCCAGAAAAGAGAAAAGGAGGAGGACACAAGAAAAAGGAAAGGAAGAAGATGCATGTCATGATGTAGGGCAGGCAATAGTAGGGCCATTTAGTCTAGATCCTTCGAAAATGCCTGATGCAGAATTGCTTAAAAAGACATCAGAATTCATGCATTCTGGATTACTGAAAAATCATACAAAGAGTAACGATAGGAAATACAAGATAGAATATGAGAAGCTAACTCTGACATGCATGATAGCAGAATGGGGGGATGGAAGCATTGATAGGAAGTCACGGTACTACACATTATACTTCCCAGGGAACTGGTTGAGTGACTTGGTAAGTACTTATTATGTAATGCTTAATAACGTGGATGCAATGCTGATTTTTTTTTTGACTATGATTACTAAGCATTGATAGGAAGTCATGTATTATTACTTGACTATGATTAATAACGTGGATGCAATGCTGAATTTTTTTTTGAAGCATGTGGAGATGGGGATGTACTTCTTAAGGATGAAAGCTGAGCAATACCAGTTGTAGCAAAAGTTCACGACTGCAGACACGATGTTTATGCATTTGCTGAAACAGCATTACGATACACACATTAACGGTGCAACGACAGTGGCAGACACAACATTAAACAGGAATATAATGGGTATCATACTTGGGACACGTTTGGACTACGCGTTGTCATGGGCAGAAGCGGACATTGTGTACATGCCGCTGAATAATGGTAACCACTGGATCCTTCTGGTACTGGACATAAGTGGAAAATCAATACGGGTGTATGATTCTCTAGTTCGGCGAGGTGAAACAAACATCCACCTTCACCATTATCTACCGTGCATTCAAATGTTTTTACCTAAAGTGATGGATAAGCTAGGAGTATACAATGAGCGAAGTGAGGGTCCGATGGGTGAAGAATTCTTGCAAATACAGATGGTGAATGAATGCCCACAACAAAAGGACAGGTACGTATTTAGCGATTACAGTAAATATGCAAGTGTTATAATGCCAAATGAGTGTGAAATCATGAAGTAAGCATTTTGTTTTTTGGTGGACAGTGATAGTTGTGGAATGTTTGTCTTGAAGATGGCCGAGTATTTGATGATGGGTATAAATGTTGAGTTCGTGAGACCAGAAGATATGAATGCATACCGAATCAAGATGACTACTGAGCTGCTAGTACATTTCGGTATTATAAAGGCTTAAGCTTGAAAAACTGATGAACCAAGATTGTTATGTTACGATTACAGTGCTGTAATGTTTTGTTTTGGAATGGTGGATTTCTTTAGAACAATTTAAATGTGTTATTTTGGAATGGTGGATGTTGTTAGAACAATTTAAATGTTAGAGGTTGGATGTCAAATTTATAAGTACCATGATTTTGTGTTGTGTTCAATGAGGGCAGTAGTTTTCTTTTATGTTTATGATATTATGCTTAGAGTGGAAATCGCAGATTAATGCCCTATTGCAACAAGTGCACATTATGGCCTACATCATTTTCCATAATAATGCCCTGATGCAATTGCCCTGAAACATTTCAATACATGCTAGGCCTGAACAAACCCCACTTGTCGCGTGTTGCCTAGTAACTCCCAACACCAAAATCTGTATCAAATTTATTTCCGTTTGTTACTCATACATGACATACACATAAACATCATAACATCACATATGTGTAAGAGGCCCACTGATGATGTGAGTTTGAGATATAATAATTAATATCTTTAAGGCAGTACATTAACGAAATGATACTCAGTCTGAGAAAATTGAGACAATAACATAATTAATATATCATAACAGTAACCCCTAATATTAGATTTAAGGAAATAAATTAGCAATGAATAACGAAGCGCCATTCATTCATAGCATTAAATTAACAATGAATAACAAAGTGACTGAATAAAAGTACGACAAAGTGCATTGCAATGAAAACGACAAATAATTAAAAACATGTTTTAACGCATATGTAGCGGAATAGGATTCCTACAAGTCTTTCTATTGTGTCCAACCATGAGGCAACGAGTGCATTTTTGTCTTTGAACGTGTTCTCCTGTAGAAGGAATTCTTCTTTTCTTCGGCCTTCCAGGAGGTCGTGATTCACATGATGGGGGACGACAAGTAATTTCCTTAACATATGAAGGTACCATCCAACCATCCGGACTCCCAATAGGATGAATAATAGCACGATATGTTTGTTCCCAATGATGTGCTGTATAGAATTCTGAAATGTAATCGTAGCAAGAAAGTCCTGGGCGAGAGCGAATAGCTGCTACGGCATGTACACATAAAAACCCATCCAGCTGAAATTCCCGACAAGTGCACGTCCGCTCCTTCAAGTTGACAACATAAGAGCGGGATCTCTTATCAAACACCTCAAACTCAAAAGCGCATGATGGTTTTACCTGCACAATTTATTATTACACATTAAAAACTATAATTAAATATTGGAAGGAATAACAATAATTTAATAGCACATGAAGTTAGTATATTTTTTAAAAAATCAGTGCAATGAAGACAATGATTAGAGGGCAATACTCTCATGACGGCTGCCATAGCTTGTAAAATTGCTAGTTCAGATTCAAAGTGTGTTGATAAACGGCAATTGTTTGATGCTGAAGATTCTCGCCGTTCACAAAACCACTTTTGCATTCGTCCAATAATAAACTCTATCAACTTACATATTGGGTATTCTCGGGCAGTGGCATTGACTGCATTTAATGACTTCGCATTGTTTGACATCATGACCGAGTACCGATTTCGACTAGCATAAGCACGAGACCATTTGTGGTGGCCCATCCGCTCTAAATACGTACGAATGTGTGGATCCTCACTATCCAGCATTTGAAGGTACTCTTCACACTCATACACAGATCCAGCACGAGCAGCCTGCAAAAACTTCCATGATACAGTTTTTTGAGTGCCACGAAATCTTGTTTTCAAATTAGCCAATATGTGGTACACACAGTAACCATGCTCCGCATGAGGAAATACAGAACGCACAGATGTAATAATACCCTCATGCCGATCAGAAACAATATATAGATTATCCCTATGCATTAGCGAATGCTTCAACATGCTGAAGAACCATGACCAATTTTCAGTATTTTCTCCACTACAAATACCGAATGCCAATGGAAATATTTGTTTGTTTGCATCTTGTGTACATGCAGTGAGTAATGTACCCTTATTATACGACTTCAAAAAAGACCCATCCACAATTATAACCGGAATGCAATTAATCCAACCTTCCCTCCATGCAGAAAGGCACATGAAAAAATTATGAAATTCACCATTTTCCTTGCACGAATAAGAAACTATAGAACCTGGGTTACTCCTTTCAAGCACATGGCACATTGAAGGTAAGCGTGCATATGAATCCTTTTCGGATCCCATAGCCAGTTCCATTGCCAATTCTTTGGCAATCCATGCTTTTTTGTATGACATGTAAATGCCGTATTTGGTCTGCATATCAAGCATAATTGATTTTGGAGGGTATGGCTTATTGGATGCATCACCGTACTCATGTTTGATAAGTTCGGCAATAATCCTGGACGTAGCCTGACGGCTATTTCGTTGACGTACATCAATGGGGCATGTGTGCTCAGAGTCAAATCTGGAAAAAATGTTTAATGACGGGCATTAATTTATGGGCAGTGAAGCAATTTATGGAAAATTTTAGGGGGAGGGGGGACACAACATGTATGACGAGAACAAACAGTAACAAGTAAAGAATATTTTTGGGAATATGTTGATATAATTAGGCAATATACTGAAAAATCATATGAATAGCGTACATAATAATATAGTAGTGCAAAGAGGGCATTAAAAACATAGCACACGGTGCATTGTGCGATGTGGCATTAAGTAAACTTTCAAGCATTATATTGTATTAAATGTAAATGCACAGAGTGAATTAAACATGTCGTTAAAAGAATACTCTTAGCATACAATCAAATTTATAATGCAAACGCAAGGGCATTGCAGCCTATGAACGTAACTTACTGCAAACGCAGGGCATTGTAAGAGCTGAGTACAGGGCATGAAAGCATATGTCCGACTTACAATACTGATTTCATTTTCCTTATACATTTTTTTTAAAACAACAAAACAGTGACACAACAAAAGAACATCATAAGGCCATTGATTTTGCATACCGTGGACAATTCAAATATTTGTTTTTTAATAATACACGTTAGGGCAGTAATAGACATGCATGTCATGTAACTTGGAGAAATGACTGCATACCTTTTCACTTGAAACAATGACACTCCGTCAATGCACACACCACGCACAGCCCACTTGCAGTCAGGGTCAACACACACAACATGCAAAACCTTCGGGCAAGATGTCTTCGTTCTATACTGAAAGAAGTTGGTAATCGCATACATCTTTAAGTGAAAATCAAGTTCCTTCTTGCTTCCATAGATGCTATTCAATGCAATGTGTGTGGGTTCAGAATGGTTGAGAACATGCATATTATGAATCTCTTCATCAACCTGAGAATTTAAGCTCATAATTTCAGCACTCGAAATATGGTCAAATTCAATGTCCATACAAATATTGTGACTGAAATTATTGTCTTGTTCACTAAAGTCACCAAACTCTTCCGGATTACTCGGGTGGTTAATTCCACTTGAATTGTGGATATCATCACATACTGTGGTGCTTTGTTCATCTCCAGTCATAGCATCACATACAAATTCAACACACAACGGCATTTGCATCGGGTCCTTTTGAAAACTCTTCAATTGTAGATAAAAGTGTAGACCATTGTCATCACATACATTAACGGGAGGTGGGCAGGTAGTAAAAACGTATGAAATCTTAATATTCTTCCCGGCATAATTCTCACCCATAGCAGCGCAAACACGAGAATATAGAGAATCATACGTACAATTTGAAGGTATAGTTAAACCGGCAACGTGAATACTAGAGAACAAAGTATCTGACACCCATTGGCCATCATATTTAATCATTATCCACATCTCCGGGTAACATATGCCGACTACAGAATCCATTGTTAATGCTTCAGTCAACCGGGTGTAATGCGAATTGGAGAATAGAGTCGATGAAGAAGATTTAATTCCGCTTGATGAATAGAAACGTGTAACGCATAAAGATTGTGAATAAGTAATGGAAATAGTTTCCTTGTAGGGATCTCTTCCTTGTATTAAATTAATTGAAGTGTTATTAAGCCGGTGGAGTCTCTAAACGGTGAGTTTCCTTATTCATTTAATTCAATTATGTAACCGGTGGAGTTTCTAAACGGTTATTCCAATACGTGCGCATGTCATGTAATCAACTCCTGTTTTTTAGGATGAAATAACATTGATTCATTTAACCAAAGGAGGGCACTTGTGGGATTAGAATAAAAATAAAAAAAACACGTAGATGGGCATGTAGCATGTGAATCATAAAAGAAGGATAAACGTTGATGTGGTCATAGATGGGGAAAGATGGAGTCTTTTAGTTATACACGTGATAATTTTCTCTATGCATGTGACCATGCCACATACTACATACTTCGTGTGTGTATATATATATATATATATATATATATATATGTAGAGAGAGAGAGAAAGAGAGAAATATTCAGGTCCGGAATTCCGGACTAGAATCGCGTCCGGACGGCGGCGTTTCGGGCTTCCGGCGCTTCCCGGTCGACTTTTTTTGATGAAATTTTTACATATATATGTATATATATATATACATACATATATATATATGGTTATATTTAAAGCATGGAAGAAAGTTAAGTTTGGGCATTTTTCCGTTGCTACAGCTCCAGGCGGTTAAACTCCGTTTACTGCTCTGCCTACAAGAATGAGTGACAGATGTTTTCCAATTTCATTTCTCATTTTACTCTCCCCAACCCTATTGCTGCATCAGTTCCATGATCGTCTCTTCCTACTATCGGACGGTCTTCCGCCAAAGTCGTGCGCTCAGCCTCCACAAAGCATCGAGCTGCTCCCATAGCCATTCATCGCCTCCCAAAGGTAACTTTATCTAAGATATCTTCTTCTCTTTTGTATGCTTTGGTTTCTATTCTGTTTCTAGCTCCAGCGATTTCATTCCACGGACTGGTTTCATCCGAATCTGTGAGTACTTTTTGTTGTTTGTTAGATTTTTTGCAGCCTTAAGCTACTGTTTGTCCTCGGACTTTTTGAAGCTTCAGTTGTGCAAAAGCAAAATAGCACGAAGAGATTTGCGATTTTACTGTTGATGAGTTTCGGGGTTTTCGGTTGTAACTTGAAATTGGAAGCTGATTTTTGGAATCTGAGACTGGATTGGGGGTCTCCTTCACATGACGCCACTACCTATCTCTTTTCAGGTGAACTGATTTTTAGTTTTTTGAAGAGTTTTTAGTAATTGGAAGAGCACAGGTCTAACATCAATCCCAATTTTTAGTACGGTTTGGGCTGACTGCCTTATCACTTGAGTGATCCCAACTGAAATATCTAATTGTATTAGAGCAGGTTCTGATTCATGTACAAGGTTGTTGTATGTTTTTTAAGTTCTGAGTTCTATTTTACTGATGAATGTTTCAGTACCAACTCCACCAAGATTGTATTTCAGATTATGATGCTCTGAAAGGTCAATTTATGTAGTATGATTAGAATTCATATGGTTTCATAAACCTGAAAATTGATTTCTCAAGTGGTGTGCGTGTTAACTCTTGTGATCCTTTCTGTGTAATTATGAAAAGTTCCTGGCTTTCTATCGCCACTAATTTATCATGTTTTGTAGTAATCTAACTCTTAGAGTGAAAGTAAAGATGAATTGCTGGATATGATAGAAGACACCCACCTGCACCTTCTAATTTAAAGAAGGTAACTTCAAATTAAGTTTGATTTTATATGGTCAGTTGTATTTGGATTTAATTCACACATTTGTTTTTCTATATGAGTGGTTTGATTTATTCTTCAGACTCAGTTTGTTCGTTTCCTTCGCCATCATCTATCTGGTTCATTACAGAACTACGATACCTTCTTTATTACTGACTTTTCCTGTTTCATGTTCTTCTTTGGATAAAGTTTTGATTTTCACATCGTATTCCAGAGTTAATTTGGAATGAATCTAACAGTTTTTGCAACTTTTTTTCTTAATCTTTAGTAAATTAGATTTACTAAAGATTTCTCAGTTAGGGATACCTCCATGGATACGATTGAAGATACCCACCTGCACCTAATCAAGTTTGAGGGCGCTCATTCTAATTTCAAGAAGGTAAATTCAAACCAGGTTTGATTTTATAAATATGGTCAGTTTTTATTTTATTTTAATTCACACATTTGTTTCTCTATAGGAGTGTTTTTATTTATTTTTCAGACTCAGTTTGTTCGTTTCCTTAGTTGTGTTTTTTGGGGTTGTTTATGACTCGTATTTTTGTATGTCTTGGGTTTTGGAAGCAGAATTGATATACCCAGAAGTCGACCTGCATGGAGAATTAAATCAATTGATATACCCAGACTTAAGTGCCTCAGTTTGCCCTCATTGTGGTGTTGTCTCTCTCTATTTTCTCTTAAAGTTCTCTAGCAGGTGTAAACCACACAGGTAGGCTTTTTTATTTAAGGTTAATTTCTACAATTTTGTGTTTTCTTCTTCTTATTTTTAAGACATGTATTAAAAATAAATAATTGTAAATGGCATGCTAATAATGATTTTGTGATTATCTTTATACCTAATTGGCAACTTGGATTATTGACAGTGTGAACAATCTAATCTTTCTTTATCATTGAAACATGGTTTCTTATCCTGTTTGAAGGATATAAAAACGGCTCTTGGGACATTTGGGAGTGACATCATCTTCTCAAATAGTCTCTTAGATCTATGGGGTGGTGGCAAGTAAATTTTGAACGCATTAAATTGTAGTTTAAGGTTTGTGGAGTGTAGCTGCTAATTTTTAATGGGAAATGATCATGTGTTGCAGAGTCCTAGACATATCAGAAACTATTGTTGCTCTTGTTATTGAAAAAAGTAACTCCATTTCAATTCTCTTTGTTGGCTTCATCACATTAGAGAATTTGGATGTGGTATTGGGTTTAAGTTTAAAGTGTTGAACCACTGGATCTTGACTACGCATGCATGTATAATAGGCATTTTTTGAGGTTTTGTTTATAGAGGTTGAGAACTACAAAGAAACCAGTAAATGTGCTATGGATTTAGGCACATTGAGGACTAAACTCCCACAAGTGATGTATTAGAATCTTGAACAGTTTGATGTAGGAACCAATCTCAGTTATCTATTTCCCTCCATTGTAAAATAGCAATTAAACAACTTAATCCTATTTATACAAATCTTGAACATTGTTTTTCTGGCTAGCAACAGAAAAAGGTGGGATTCCATCAACATTTAATTTCCTTTTAAAATCTAACATGCATTTAAGTATAGTAGCTCTAGCTATTGCTACTGTTTTCTTGAAAGTTAATGTTTTAATTTGCCTCTATTATCTCTTAATTGCCTGCCTGTACTGTTTTCTTTCTTTGAAGTCTGATCTATTCTATATGTTTTAGCCAACATTATTATATCGAGCAGTCCTACAGTTATACACTGTGTTGTTTCTCTATAGCCCATTTAACTATACGAAAATAATATAAATACATGTTTTTTGCAGTTTTCATACATACCTCTAAACATTGAAATATTTATGTCTGCATGAACTAAAGGTGTCAACTTTTTGCAGCAGCTTAAATTTTCTTGATTGAAAATTAACATCATTTGAGTTTCTCTCTCATTTTTGTGTTGTTTTCCTAACTTTCTTTAGATTGTGGGATATAGAAACTGTGGGAAACTCTGAAATGGATGTGGAATCCAGAGTGGGGGAAGTTTTTGTTTTTATTTTGTTACCATATATAATTAATCAGAATTTGGATTAATGAAAGTTTACTGATGGGGAAAAGTAGTCTACTTTCTCATAAAGTCAAGGGAGCTTATCTAAATGCCATGGTAAGAAAATCTGACCATATTACCCCTCTCGAAAACTTAGAACACTATTTTGGGTTGTAATATAGCATCATAGATGCTCTGATAGAGTGTTTGCAAACTATTCCTATTTCTTGATTAATAAATCATTGTATTTGAGAAATAAATAAAAACTCTCTTAATATCTTGGTTGCCACAGACAGGGTCGTTTTACGTACCAACTTGGCTAGGTACGTGTTTTTGGGATGCCTGCTGGAGGCTGCAGCATTACCCCAATGTTTCAGGTTACTCATCGTTTACGGGATGATTATGCAACTTAGCTTTCGATCGAAGAAGAGTTTTTTTTTTGAAAATTTAATTAAACTTTTAGTCATACCAATGTTGCAAATGTGATTTGGTATGACCGTGCATTTTATGTATGAACTCACTTTAAAAACTCTTATTAGGTTGACATCAAATGCAAAACTTTTAGAGTGTTTTTAAAAAACTCTAAAACAGGCCTTTATTTTCTTTAAATTCGGTGAAATGCAAATTAAAAAGCTTTTGCAAATTTGATATTATAAAAAATCTAAAACTCTTCTGGCTTCACTTCATATATAATTTTCTAAACAATAATTGATATGATGTTTTTCCTCTTAATTTGAAAAAGTAAGTTGTTCGGTGTTTATGGTCTGCTATAGTTTTGATTCACAATAGAACATTTCTGGGAAACAGATGCCTGGGAAATTTGTCAAGTAAATCAGGTAATCA